AACAAGAAAATTATCCAGCTGGAACTGAACAACAGTCAACGGTTGGTGTCACACTCTGCAAGGAACACTGAATGACGGATGGGCGGAAGTAAACTTTCTACGGTCTCTCCTGTACATTTTAAGTTTATGACCTTACTTCTCAGAGCCTGTGGTGTTTTCTTTCACAAACTGTGAGCAAGGAACGTCATATTTGTAGGTAATTAGAAGCTCTATTCTCACAGCGGCGTGTATATCCTGCTTTCTTCATAGTTAATGTTACTGGTTTATCTGGAACAGAAGAATGAAAGCACTTAAACTTGACTGCTATCAGAAACCACGACAATTTTTTACAATTTTACATTGTTTGTTGTTTTCTTTTCGAATAGAGAATGCCACATTATGCTAATACCAACTGCTTTGCCCAAGCCAATAATCTCTTGATCATTTTCTTCTGAACCAACATGAGTTTGAGTTTGAGGAACCAACTCCTAGTCGTGGAGAAGCTTTGACTGTGAGCACGAGGCTCTACCGACTTAGAGACTTGATTTATTATCGACAGACAGTGGAAGAGAAGCGTACTGCAGTGGCTTCTTTTAACGAATTCATAGGCAAAAAAGATATTCATCCCAATTCTGGTCGGCGAATGCTGACAGCATGAAAAACTAAGAAGTAAGAGTCGTATGCTTTGTCTCAATGTGCAGAATTTCCAGTTTCAAAGTAATACTTTTTAATGCATGATTGTTAGACGTGAGTTGAATCATTGCATAGGACTGCGAAAGCAACGTGAAAGTAATCATAATTATGATACTCCGAACTTTCCTCTGAGGCAACTAGATCTGTGGATGAACCCCTCCATGGCCATTATCACTTTATCCAACAAACCGGTATCCTCATTTGCCTTCTAGAGTAACTGTTATTGCAATGAATCGTAATAAGTCAATAATTAAGAACAGGAGGCGAAGAGGAGAACAGTTGAATTAGTTCAGCTGATCCTTAGGACTATCATGTTTTCCACCAATAATGGCTTTTGTGCCTCATTCTGTGGTCTCATTCAGCGCTCTGCAGACATAGACAGTTGCTCATATCTGAAGAATGCATAATCGGTATAAAATCGCAGCCCCTAGATTTGCTGATTTCTAAAATCCTGCAATCGTTGATTGACGGTTTGCATGCAGAGCCGTGTCTATCTTCGACCAATGAATAGAGGAAGAAGTGCATAATTTGAGGCACTATCGCAACAACTCCTCGGACCACAAAATTAGCAACTTTAGGAATAGTTCAGCTAAAAATTTTTCATCGAATGGCTTGATTGTCTTGCGCATGACACGACTGTTCTTTGAGGCCAGTTGACTCAGCCAAACCGCACCATCCAACGTCACCGACGTAACTGGTTCTCAGAATATGCAGCGACAACGTCCAACGTCAGTTACTGACTGCTGCTGATTTGTCACGTTTACAACATATGTACTTGACAAGTACTTGAATCGCATCGTGTTCGTTCGCTGTCAGCCGGTTATTGGAAGTCATGAAGTTAGTGAGAATGGAACGGAGTGTCACTAACAGTTGCGAGTAACCTCCAGCCATACCATAGGCGAGAGTCCAAAATGCTGATGAATTATTGTTTCGATCTTACAGACAGCAGAAGTGTAGGTTCCTACGCTGAAGTAAGGCAATTTGGGCACCATTCATTCAAAATCAGTTTGGACATTAAAAGAGCACTAACTTATGAAATATTTTTTCTGATTGTCATAGCATTGCTCTAGCGACAAAAATAACGCGGGTCACTTCTGGCTCCGTAATTGCTCACGTCCTGCCGATCCGTGACTCGCCTAATTGATTCGAACAAGCAGCTACGAACGATGTGTGTATGAGTTCTCGAAATAATCACTTTGAGCAGTTTCCATGGGCGTCTTTCGTTCGTGATGCCCTCTGTACTCACACTTTGCAAGACTTTCACCGTAATGTCCCCTTTACTGCATAGAAGATGGATATATTTATGTCAGAAAGCAGATTTGCCTTTATCGTGTTCTTCCATACTGCATGTTGGCCTCGTGGTAGATGACAACTGTAATTCGGCTTCGATAGGGAAGCCCATGCGTTGAAGTGTGCAATAATCTTCCGTCAATTCTCCATATTTACTCAGCGTAGGAGCATCTTCTTCTCGTTTAAACAGGGCACGTCTCCATGGTATTTTGAAACCTGCTGTACAACTATGCAAAACGATTTCACTGAGTAGGGTCGAAGAAAAACCAAAAGAATTGACCGGAGAATGTCATACTTACCGGCGGTAACGAAACTAGTATTTTGCTAATAAACCCCTGATACCGACATTATATTTGTTTATACATAAATTTACGAGTAACAAGAATATGGTAGGTGTCTGAAGAAGATTTTATTAAAATTTGGAAGCCGAAATTAGCTCGACAAATTTGTTGTGAAAACTATCTTGTTGTCGATCAGTCGATTTGTCTACGGAGTATGAATGATCCTGTCAGGTTTCTTTGTGAACTAATCAACATGGCCAAATCCCAAATCCTTCTAGAAGACCTTTTCATGCCAT